CTAGCGACGGCCTCCAACCTACTAGCAATGCTGATGGCCTCCAACCTAATAGCGGCAGCGGTTGTCTCGTCGTCCAAGCGGCCATTTTGAGTTCGAATCCTGCCGTTCTCGTTGGCCTTCCGGGCCCACCATTCCAAGCCCCGGCGGCGGATCTGACCTTCGATAAAAGCGCAACATGGAAAAAGACATCGATAAATGAATAAATGAATAAAAAGGAAAAACGGAAATGGAAACGGACACTAAAAGTAATAAATGAATACAACGAATAAAAAGGAAACGGAAACGTGTAAGGAAATGAATATGAAACGAACAAATGAAACGGAAATGGAAAAATGAATATGTAAGAATTGAACATTGAATAGCACTCAGATATCTTTAGTGTCCCAGGCCTTCAGGCGTCTCAGGAGAGATGACTCCGATCCTTCGACAGGCGTCTGAGGCACAAGAGTATTGTCTGGTCACAGAAGAGTAAAGATTCAACCCAAGTTTTCCCAAAATCTAGGAACCCAATCATTGTGCGAGAGCTTCTTCAAGGAAGCTCTCCTAGCTAGGACTTCCTGTTGTTAGTAGCTTACCTCCTTACTTAATTAAGTACCTACTTAATGAAGTAAGGGCAGACTTTAAAAGAATGAAAAAAGAAACAGGCAACTGGACAACGGACATCAACGCATTGAATCACAGTTTACACGAATTCCTATTTCAGCCACGCAGCCGAAAAATGTCCGCACTGGTGCAGTTTGGCGGACATGACAATCTCTTTTCCCACGGTGGTGCAGGAAAATACAAACCTCGCTGGAACGCGGCTGAGCTCGCTTGGGCCACATGTGATGCGATCGCAAAACGATCGAACGATGGCGGCCGACTGTGTCAAGGAACTTGAGTCGGCGGTGCTTTCTGGAAGCACTGAGGTCTGATTCTTCTCTGGCAAGATCTGAATCACCGCAGCTTCATGTCCCACATTCCTCAGAGTCGTTGGTTCGCCGCCCCGAGCCGAAAAGGGTCCGATCCGCAAAGAAGGACACCCCGTTCGCACCAACGACATGTTCAGATCGGCCGTTCCATGTGGGATTAATTGCTCCTTGATGTTGGTGCAGAAAAGTGTTTATCGGTTATATTCGGTTATCCCCATCCAGGTCATCCCACGCCGCGGCATATTTTCCATAGAATAATTGGAAGAATGGAGAGCACGTTGAGTTCCAGCAAAAATGAAAGCTTCATGTGAGAGACAGGCAAAGTAGGGGTGCCTCCATGGAACATGTTAAAGAATTGGAACAGTTTTTTGCTAGAGTGATTTCCAATTTCCTGTGGTACCACAAGCAAGCATTGAGTACCTCGACTTCACGTGGAGCAGGCATTAAGCTACCGGTTGCCAAAATCCAATCAGGATAGGAGCAGCACAAGAAAACAAATCAAGAATCCAAACAATCTTGCAGGCCATACTTGTTCTGCGGGTCTTTCTGTCCGGCCAAACCTATCTAGTCTGTTGTTATTGTTTCGTGTTTTGCTCCCCAAGTCGTGATTCCAAAATGATCCGCAACCCGGGTGTGTTTGCGCAAATGTTTCAGAAGAAAACGTATGTGAAAGGATCGCATGGACTACGCTTATATATATATACTTGTATGTGCTTATATACTGTTTGATCTTGTCGCCATGCACCCAATTCCGTCACTTGTGTTTTTGATGCTTAAGGGTGAAAAAAAATGGTAAGGCCAGAATCCGTGATTTAAAAAATAAGAAAGTCCAAAAAAGTCAAATGGAAAAGTAAAAAAGAGATGTCAACAACAAAAAAATCGTAAAAAGTAAAAAAATGTTAAAATTAGAAACAGTCACAAAAGTAAAGAAAAAGTCGGATCTGGGCAAATTGACTTGCTTTTGACTTTCTTTAAAAAGGAATAAAAAAACTCTAATTTGACTTTTTTGACTTTGACTTTTGGGACTGACCTTTTTGGCTTTTTACAAATTTTGAAAACAGGCTCTCCAATGAAAGAATTTTATAAGCTTAAGGCTTAAAACTGAACAAGCGAACTGACTCTTCTTCTGCAGATCCAAGCAACTGATTAAATTTGGAAAATCGCACCCTTCCATACATGGTATCCTCCTTGGTGCGAACCGTTCCACAAAAACCTCTGCACATTTGAGCGGAGAAGGAGTCAAAAAGCCAAGCCCTTGAGCCTCGAAGTCCCGAATCATCAAGCGGAGCTTCTCATCAAAGCTGATCTCACCTCGTTTTTTGGTACGAGCTGCAAAAGCTTTGCAAGGTGTCAAGAAAATCACACCAACAACTCAAGTGTACATTCCTCATCATCCTCATCCTCGACTCTTTATGCAAAAAACGCTCCAAAAAAGGATAGCAGATTCATGACACATTCCCCCCCGCCTAAACAACTGTTGCTGGTGGCATTGCTGGCCTCTGAATAGTTCCCCATCGCCACCTGTTACATTCAGAAAGTGCCCAGCACATGCTCATCTGCTCATCTCAAAGTCGGAGGGATTGATGGTGTTCAGAGCCAACAGTTCACAGTAGATAAGCGAATCTCAGAGTGCGATTCATCACATGGTACCTGGCTTCCTCTTGTCAGACTAAAATACAGAAAATCCTCTCGCCTTGTTCACACCTCGCTCAATGATAATGCCAGCTGTTGTGCATGAAGCCAGCAAGTAGTCCGGATCAGAGCCCGTGGCCGCTTTGAATTCGGCCCAGAAGGTCTGCGTGTTTCCAACCGAAGAAAAGTCGTTGAAGCGCCTGGGGCCACGAAGCGCCTTCCTGTCGTGTCGAAACCCGCATGATCATGAGGACCTGAAATGTCACCAGGAGGCTGTGTGTGGTGCCATTGTGAGGGAGCAAGGACATAGTCCCCATCAGAATGTCCATAGACATCTCTGGGGAAGGCTGCAGCCCAGGCTCCAGTAGTGGGCCTCACAAGAAGGAGTTGAAGGTCCAACCTACTTGCAGGGGCCTCCAACCTACTTGCGATGGATTCCAACCTGCTGGCCTCCAACCTACTTGCGATGGCCTCCAACCTACTTGCGATAACCTCCAACCTACTTGCGATGGCCTCCAACCTACTTGCGATGGCCTCCAACCTGCTTGCGATAACCTCCAACCTACTTGCAATGGCCTCCAACCTACTGGCGATGGCCTCCAACCCACTTGCAATGGCCTCCAACCTACTTGCGATGGCCTCCAACCTGCTTGCCATGCCCTCCAACTTGCGATGGCCTCCAACCTACTTGCGATGGCCTCCACCCTACTAGCGGTCGCCTCGAACCTACTAGCGATGGCCTCCAACCTACTAGCGGTGCCCTCCAACCTACTAGCGATGCTGATGGCCTCCAACCTAATAGCAATGGCCTCCAACCTACTTGCAATGGCCTCCAACCTACTTGCGATGGCCTCCAACCTATTTGCGATGGCCTCCAAGCACGCTCGAGGGATCAAAAGAATTCAAAACGCCAAGTAGCGCGATCAGGATGATGGTTGCGAGGAGGTCCAAACGTTCTTGAACGATCGCCTGGAGGCGAGCATCACTTTTTTGACGTTGTTCCTTTGAGCATTGCGCACCTGCTGCAACGCAAGGCCATCCTGGAGCCACGTACAGCCCATGACAATCGTTGTCTCAGACTCCTCGACACAAGCACGAGGAATCCAGGAAGATGTGTTTTTCCTAAAAATCCAGGAACCAAATCGCTTCTAGGTTGGAGGCCATCGCTAGTAGGTTGGAGGCCATGCTATTAGTTTTCCTAAAAGACCTAGGAACCCAATCATTAGTGCAAGCGCTTCTTCAAGGAAGCTCCCGCCGCCTTTAGGGCGGAGGGGGAGCTTCCGTTACCAAAGGTTACCTAGTAGTTTGTAGACAGCCCTTACTCAACTAAGCAGGCGCCGACTTAATTAAGTAAGGGCGGGTTTTAAACAAAGACGACCAAAACAACCTCAACCGACGGTCACCGACGGCTCAAGCAGCTTGTTGAGCCTTCAACGCTGCAACGCCAGCAGGCATCACAGTCTCATAGCTAGTGCCACTATATTCGAAGATCTCATTGGGATCCACTTCCTCGAAGCAACACGGAATCCTCTTTCTACCATCCGTCCATGCATGGTTTAGTGGTTTAGAGTGCACCTTGGACTAAACCAGGTCCACCCGTTCCGAAGCAGAACGAGAAGATGTCCCGGCGAAACACGTCGGTCCCCAACCACGGACATATGCGTCTGCGTCTGGGTCTCTTCGCTTCAGGTCGTCAGACTGAATAGACTGAACAGTTTCTACTAGCAAACCTTGTTCCTACTAGTAAGGCACTTGTTCCCTACTAGTAAGGCACTTGTTACTCAGCTTCAGATGTGTGAGGACTAAGCCAACTGACCTGGATAGACTGCATACCACAGCTTCTCAGTGCAGCTCGAAGTGTCCATGCCGAGGTCTTTGGCGATTCGGATGGACTCTTGGCAGGTGTAGTCGGCAAAGGAGTTGCCTTTGGCGCAAAAAGATGAGCACAAAACCATTTGAGATGGTTCCATCATGTTCCATGTCCCAAATTGTCCAAGCAACCAGTATTTCTGAAGAAGGCGATTCGAGTGTTGGGCAGTCGGTTGCCAAAGCTCATGATATGCCTCAAGGTCTGACAAGAAGTTCATCTGCTTAACCTCTTCAACTTAACTTGACCTTTGTAATGCCGCCCTCTGTTGACATTGCCTTGAATTCAATCCAAGCTGCTTGAATATACCAGTACCATAGTCGCTGGAAGGCACCATGACCCCGAACTGAAAGCCTTTGTTTCGAATGCTTCCGACCCGGCATTGACACTGGACATCATCACTCCAAACATCTGCCAAGTGGCCCCATCGAGGTATGCCAAGATCTTCGAAACCATACATCCCCGGTGTACCGCCGGAACAATGTATCAAGTTCTTTTCTATCCTGTTCCTGGGACCGAAGCGAAGGCTGAGTCAAGCGACTCAAGATCAAGGAGATGACTCGGAACGACTGGGTGTGATAGAACACATGACCGCTGCGCCCCCCGTGGCGCCGCTTCCAAGAGGCCGAACCATCCAATGGCAGTCAGTCGGTTCTTTCTTGACCAAGTCGGGGACCCCATCGGTCGAATCGCAAGCACCAACCGATTGATGCAAAGCAAACATCGCCAAGTGTCTCGTTCATGGCGTCATTCACAGCGATGTTGAATTGCTGGAAGGTGTTCACCAAGACGTGCACGAAGCTTGGATTGCCTGTGAAGGAAACGTGGAACCGTGATGAACCGTGGACCCAACAGGTTTCGTCTTTCGTGAGGTCTTTCAGTTATAGAACCTGTCTTGCCATGTCCGGAAAAGACCGAGGTTGAGCCAAGGAGCCATTGCTAAAGTCCACGATGGTCCTTAGACACCAACCCGGACATGCTCTTGAGGAACATGATCTTGAGAGGAACGTGTCAAAAGCAAAAAGAAAAGAAACCTGCAAAGCCTTCAAGTCAAGCATCTGTGCAGCAATTGCAGCTGAAGCAGCTCGGATGGTGATCAGCTCGACCTGCAAGCTTGCGAAAAGCAGGGAGCTGTTCTTAGTATAAAGTGTCCTGCCTTCATGACTATGCCATCCAAGGTGGACAGGCCCCCTTCAGTATTGTTATTGACCTTGTCACCTGAAGCAGGTGCGATCAGAGACTGCCAAGCGGCAGTGAAACGTGAAACAGGTTGAGCCATTGAGCCAAGCAACGCCACCATTCCAACCCTCTTACAAAGGTTGTGCCCGTGCTAGAATCCACTGTTACCACTCCTCGCAAGACTCAAACTCCAGTGAGTTGTGCGGAAGACGCACCATTGACAAATCTGATGGAAGCACATGATTGTCACCAAGCTTCCAATTTTGAAGACTGGTAACGTAGCATTGGTGGCTACAGCTACGCAGCTGGTCAGCAACGCAATCGCCTTGGCTACCCCAAACTCGGGTCTCGACACCCCACGCACAACCCAACGCACATCTCGCCGGGTGCGAGCAGACTGACGCACTTCACACAAACGACGTGTTGTGGCCAAGTGGCCAAGAAGACCCATCGCTTCGCGGTGTGAAACATCAGGAGATCGGTGGCAACTAAACGTGAGGCCGAGGCCGACAGTAGACGTTGGTGACTGCGATGCGATGCAAGCAGCTCAGGTGTGGTGTCGATTCTGGAAGCAGTTGGAAGTGATCACAGGGCAGGTGGGATTTATCCAACTTCGAAGCCTGCTAAGCAGGTTCGATGCCCTTCGAGCAACAAAGGGATCAACGATCGTGCGCAGAACAAAAAAAAATAAACAAGTTGCAAGCATGTCAATGTCCTTCAACCCAGAAATGTTAACATTTGCTGCAAACGTTGTGTTTTCTAAAATCTGAAACCTTCAAAAAAACATTGCAAATGTGCAGGCTTGCAACTATATCACAGTTCTAGTAGCATGAGCATGTGCACATGTTGGTGGGCTACCTAACATCTCTCTGGCACACCAAGTAAAGGAACACAAACAGTGGTGTGTAACGCGCGCACGCGTGCAAACACCTTTTCTGGTTCCAGCTTCGGGCAAAAAGGCCACTGGCGCTCGATCACCTCATCGACTCTTGCGGTCATGTGAGCCCGGTGGACTGGCGAATCTGCGTTTCGTTCCACCCTACTAGCGATGGCATCCAACCTGAAAGTGAGGTTTTGCAAGGAACGTATCCTGCTTCAATCTAGACTCTCACGTGTATGAACGGTTCTTGGCCTTAGGTGGGCGCGCGCAAACAGTTTTTAACCCTGCATCGGCAACCGCCACCGCTGAACGTGATGTTCTTCCATCCATTCTAAATTTGAACTTGATTGGCTGCTACCCGCTTGTGCTTCATATGCTTCCTGTTCACCAAACATGTCCTTGGGACCTAACTCCTGTCTTTCCCTTTTAGGCTTCCTGGCCGGCGCCCGCGCTTCTGGTTCTCGACCTGAGAAAACCACATCGGGTTTTCTTTTCGCGTTCATTTTCTTCAGCTCCCGGACCTCTGGCATCAGCTTGAAGAAGACTGGACCAGATGCAGCTGATGCATCTGTGGTGACCCAACCGACGATCCTGAACATCGAAATCGGCTCAACGAAGAAACACCGCGTAAATGGACGTGCGGAAGTTGTTTCTTCAGGGTACGCGTGCTCTTGCTATCAAATCGATGTTTTGTGAGCTCTTGATTCATCAAACGTCGCATTTGGAGTGTAAAGCCTCTTTCTATCTCCCTCATTCCGAATCCGCACGCAGCCCCTTTGGGCGCCTGGAAAAACTCCATCATTGGAGATTTTGTTGATGAAGACGAGAACACGCCGTAACCAGAAGTTCAAGTCACGAAAGGTGGTGTCCGCAGAAGCACACGAACGCAAGACATATCCCCTTTTCCAGAAAAGAAAGGAGAACTCAATATACGCAGTACATGCTTCTTCCTGTACATACCACTCCAGGGAGGAGGTGAAGTCAAAAAAGGCCGAAAGGTCACGAGGGTCCAAGCTAGCTAACCATCCCTCTGGATGATGGATTCGGGCAGTGGAAGTCCATGAAAAATCTGAGGCAGTCTGGTTCCAATTCCAACGTGGGAGACGCTTTTTCAGCAGAGTCAAGCGATCTTCCTGTTCCGGTTCAGGTTCAACGACCGAGTGTGCCACAGAAGCGGCGCGCGCTTGACTCACACAACCCAGCAGCACAGCGACGATCGTTTGTAATTGTACACCCAACCGTTTGTGATTCAAAGTGGGGTGTGAGATCAAAGCACTGAATAAACGGCTTATTGTAGCGGGCAAAAAATTTCCGGTAAAAGGACAGATCAACAACCCCCGAGGGCTTTGACAGATCCTTGCGTGATTGAAGGGCAGCTTTTTCAAAGTTGCGTAATGTCTTTGACTCCGATATGGAGAATTGGGATAGTCATATTGGCAAAGGAGAGCTCTAAGTCCTTGGTCAGTCCGAGGCGAAAAGTGGCCAGGGCATTGCGAACCTGAGTCATGAGACCATGCTTAGGGCCTGTTTGACTAGAAGTAAAAGCACAGCGTTGCTCAATCCGGTGAGGTTGCGCATGAATAAAATGCGAAAAGTCAAGAACACAACAGTATGCACGAGCACAAATTGGTTCAATACGATGTGGTCGGGAAAGGAATGCGAAAACAAGCATCTTGGACCTCCAGTGGGGCCGGTTAGCCCACAGCAAGTGTACAAGTTCACTCTGAATTTTATCAAGGATCCTCTTGGGAATTCTTGAAATATGTGATGCAATGACAACTGTGGAAGAACTTTTTGCACCAGCAAGTTGTTCTTTAAGATAACGAGGGACTGGGAGATTTGCAATGTTTCGAGTATCTGCGACAATCTTGGAAAACTTCGTCAAATCAAAAAGGTAGGCATCTCTATCAGAGGTATACATCTTGGCCCCCTAAACATCAAATTCAAGATGGAGTGGAAGTTCAGGAAAGGTGTGTTTTGCTTCCTTCCGGGCTTGGGAAGAAGTTTCCCACAGAACACTTTTAGAGTGATTAAGTTTCTGGCCGACAAGAGTGCACCAAACTTCAGTTGCCTGCAGGGCAGTACGCAGATGTGAAATATGAGACGATCGAACCCACAAATATGCGTCATCGATGAAAACACGTGACACAACATGTGGGGTATGATCAATGAAGCACGCCCAAACATGTATATACGCATTGATGGCGATCAAGGACAAAGAACAGCCTTGGGCCGCACCGTTTGCATTTGTTGTATGAGTCTTAGAAATCCAACCTCCATACGATAAATGCTTAGACAGGCCCCTGCACATCATAAGAAAAATGTTAACCACTCCTTGTGGCACACCGAGAGCTAACATGAAAGTAGCAGCAATGGTTGGTATTATACGATCAAAGCGCTTAGACTGATCGAGTTTGATACCGACAAGATGATTGGACGTGGCTCTTGCAGTGTCAATGTCTAAGCGCATCCCGTTGCTGACGGAAGACATAGTCCTGGACTGAATTCCTCCAAATAAAGAAGGATGCATGGTGGACATCTGCCAATGCTGTAATTGCCTGAAACGGGTACCCGTACAGGCCAACAAGAAAGGAGAAAGTATTGTTGTGAGCCGCTTATTCAAGGGGCTAGCCGGTCCAACCTTATTTAAAATGGCTTGTTTTGCACAGACCAAGACAGCGGGGATATCAAAACCCTGCGCTTTCTCAAGGTAAGTGAAAAAGGCGGCCAGTACATCGAGGCACTTGATCGGTAGGTGTTCTGGACATCTGTGGTTCTCCAACCGTCAAGGCCTGCAGCCGCCAACGGGTTCCTACCAGCAATCGTCTGGGCGAGATCGCTGGCGTCCAGGTCAGGGAGAGACCACGGCTGCACATCATGGCGCAAAAAGGGCCAAGCAGTTTGCAAAACCCGTAAAGGGTCATCATGCAAAATGTTAGAAGCGAAAATGTCGCCCCACGTATTTGAAATCAAACGCAGGGCGTCATTAGGCTGGCACACGATATTGGAATCAGCATCCAAAACACGGTTAACAGGCTCGTCAGAACTCTTATTACGGAGATGATGGAAAATGTAACTTCTTATTCGAGGCGGCGGACTCTTTGATCTTACGCTTCCAGGCTTGAATACGTGCTTGGCGTTTGGAAAAATCCCAACTGGCAAGTTGCAATTGAATCCACTGAATGTTGTGGTGAATGTCAAGGAGAGTAGGGTGTTTTGGGATCTCCCTAATGAAGGGGGATTTCAAGACACATAAGGTTTCTCTGCAGCGCGTTGCGTGATGTGCACATCTTGGATGCTTGATGCAAAGCGTTGCAAACGAGTATATAATTCCCAAAGGCGGGCAAGAGAATTCTGAATCCTCTCCGCTTCAATTGCTCCCCAATGAGCTTGGAAAAGAATTGGGACGATCGTCTTGACATCCGGATCAATGAAGAGCTCGCCGAAGGGGCCATCCTCCAGATCATCCATCTGCACATCCCAATACATTGGAGGGGAGAACTTCACAGACTCATCACACAGGCGTTGGAAAAGAGTGCCACAAAAGGCCATCTCATCACTTCCCAACCAGATCTGCTGCAATAGGCTGCCCTTTGGGCAAAATCGGCCCCTGCTTGTAAGGTCATAGGGACTCCTCGATATCCATCGTGTCCTCCAGAGTGTATGGCTCCTTCAGATCTATAAGGCATGCTTGAGCTCCCATCAACACCAAAGCAAACGCAGCTATAATACCCGGTGGTTGCAATGTTATCCACCTGAAGTTCGGTGGTGGGTGTGGTATCAATCGTTGTAAAAGAACCACCTGCACGGCTGATGAGATCCCGAAAGATTGCAAGGAAGGCATCACATCTGAGCAATGGAAGGTGGGCGACAAACCTTCTCGAGGTCAACACAATGGATTATGATGGAGGTGTTTTCACCACCTTGCCAAGCACACTGAGTTTCAATTGCCTGCAGAAAGGCACCGAAGGTCCTGGAGTGCGCAAAAGGCTTCAAGATCATCGTCAAAGGCAAAGGGTGGCTCAGTTGCCCGATCCCCATTGTTCTCATCACATTCGAAGGGAATGGGTGACGAGATCCTGAGTGAAGCAAGGAACGAGGGATGCGCTTGCATGCTGGGCAGGCTAATGCAAACTGACAGACCCAATGACTCGGGAAATGGACCATTCACTGGCTCTGGCTGCGTACATGGCGATAGTCCAATGGCTACTGGACGGTTCATCTGCATTCCACATAAAGACTTGGCGAAGAAGGTCCTCAGGACCTTTCAGCACTTGGCGAATAAGGTCGGACCCCCTGTGGGTCGCCATGATGCGGCACGAACGATCGCGAAAGAAGCACGGGATTGATATCACGACAACGACATCACCTTGGCGCTCGCAGAGTGGCTGCGGAGAGCAAAAATCATTGAGTGCTTGGTCAATTCCCTGGAGGAAAAGAAAGACCTCACGATGGAAAATGACGGAATTCACACTTGCGTGCTTGGCATTCCACGATTTTCGGACAAGCTCCTGGACATTGACTCGTTGCTTGAAAACCGCTTGGATGCCAAAAAGGAGAGGGATGAGGCCACGTTGAACCGTGATTGCGTTCCCAACACACTTGAAGGCTTCTTGCAGCTTGGAAGGGAGAACGATCAGTTCACACGCCCCAAAAAGGGCACAGAACCTGGAGGGTCAAAAAAGGAAATGCCCTGATGATGGTTTTCCAACACAGCAAAAATCCCCTTGTCACGAATGTGGTTCAAGTGCAACATATGTTGATTTGAGTAAGAGGCACAAAGAGTTGGCAACGGTTCACAACCCGAAGGGAATCGAAGTTCAACAATTTGTTGCGGAGTGGCACTGCTGCTGACACGGCGTCTTTTGGCAGGAGGCAACAGCATTGGATCAGCATAGGGTCAAGTTCGGAGGGCGACAAACGAAGCTGATCGGCCCAAACCGCAGGGACTGGAAAAGCATAGATTTCCGAATTCCAAGGCTTTCTAGGAAACACAGTTGGCGTGAACTTGCCCCCAAAAGGCATTGCATCAATGTCTTTTCGGACCCATGTGCAGAGCCATCTCGATCTGCTGTGGTTTGAGACCTGATGATGCGAGGTCACCTGATTGCAGATCACTGCATAGCCGATTTTTGCCAGAAAATCCTGGATGTATCCAAAATGAGGGTGTGTGGTAATGTCCTCCACACATTCCGCAGCAATGAAGACCGGTTGGATAACAAAGCACAGCTGAAGGGCTTCCATGAAAGCCCAACCCCCTTCATGGCAGAGACCCTGTGACTCTCCGGCACGACTCCAAGTGGGGCAAGGAGGGGAAAGAGTCACAGTCACATTAGCCTGGTTCAAGCACAAGTGTGCGATACTCACATCGTCAATCGAACCATGGATTCCAACAAAAGGTGCAGGGTTCCATTCCATTTGAGTAGCAACGGGGGTTCGGTAACAATAAACCCCGTGTTTGACCGCCCAAGTGGATGACCACCTCGCCACGATCGACGGCGATCTGCTGGCCGATGCTGTGACCTAAGTTTGCCTTGGTAAGCCAAGAGGCAGCTTGTTCCCATCCAGCGAAGGCGCCAGAAAAAAGGTGTACCACACTCAAAGAAAGGTCTGCATCGACTTCCGGTCAAGGAATCACAATTGCACGCTCGTCAAAGAACCAATGATCATCATCTCCAGGAGCAGAAGGAATACCACATCCCACAATATCCATACCCACAATAAGACGAAGGGTTCGGAAGCCAACATGGGAGATATGTATATAAACAATCTTTCCCGGCTGCGAACTCGTCACAAAACCACAACCTGGTGTGAAGATGTGAAGGTGCACTTTGATGACATCGGGTTCACACTCAAGGATAGTCCCAGACCAGCAAAAGCTATCTTTGATCGTCACCAGAAAGCAAGGTTTGCTGATAGCGGATTGCAGGGCTTCCAGTTTGTGAAGCATAGGGCTCTATCGTGGAAGCACTCGACATGGCAGGATCACACAACACGGAGGGATCACGAAAACACACAAACACACACACACACACACCACACACGCCAAAGGGCTGGTGGGGTAGGGCACCACCTTGTTGGACGTGGTACCCCTCCAAGTTGGAGGCGGCACCACCCTGGGAGCCCGTGTTCCCTGAGCTCAGGGCTTTTGGGCCGGAGGGCTAGTGTAAAACCTCTTTACATGGGGTGTGTCACGAATCAAGAGTTTACACTAGTATTTAAAGTGATGTAAATATGTGCAAAAAGGTCCAAGCACAGGGTCGGATGCATCCCCGAATCGAGCAGAGACCCAGGAGGCCCAAACAGAGCAGGCAAAGCACCAAATCCGAAGGAGCACTTGCTGGAAAACAAGAGATCGAGATCAAGGAACGATTTGAATTTTGAATAAGAGAAGGCAGGCAGAACAATCACGCTGAAGCAGTTTGGGGATATGTTTCCTCGGTTTCTGCTTGACCTTTTTTACCACAAAGATCACACTGTGGCCTGCAATGACACAGATTCATCTGCTGGTTGCAATCTATGTTCGTGTCGGGCTGCTGAGCGCATTCATCCAAGATCAAGTTCATGTGCATGGCTTGGATCTATCCTAGTAACAGTGGATGATGGCTAGTAAAGGCCTTGTCCAAAAATAGTGATGTTCTTGTTTACTGACGGCTCTACAGGTAAGAACGGACAGACCCATGGCCACTCGCACCGGTCGCGCACCGCCTACTGCCTACTCGTCGCGCACCTCTGCGAATCGCCGTTTTGCCGGCCAGACTTGACCACAATGGGCATCCTGGAAAGAGGACAACACCATTTCTGAAAGAAATTATTAATAATGATTAATAGCAGCAAGAAGCTACTAGGAGCAAAGGGCATCGCTACTAGGAACAAGGACGCTACTAGGGGCTCCTGGCATCGCTACTAGGAGCAAGAAGCTACTAGTAACATGCTGCTCGACTTCGTCCTCACAATGCCCCAGTGCACGGTTGTGACTGGTCCATCCTGGCACTTTCGAAAGATTCGACCGGCCCGGCCCGAAAGCGGTGCTGGCCCAGCGCTCAGCCAGTTTTCAAGTTTCGAAAGAATTTCAGAAAAGTCATGGCCGAAAAGAAGAGATCTTCCAGACGACATGACAATGGACAGTATCAATGGGATCTGTGATGACGTGATGTGTAATGATATATATATATATATGTGTGTGTGTGTGTATGTGTATGTGTATGTGTGTGTGTCAAGTTATCGCTGAGCTTTTGCTCAAACCACCCCCCACACGGGATGATGGAAGCCTTACATATGCACATGACATGTCATGAGAACATAGGCAAGGTCAGGGTCAGGGGCCAGAATGATTAATAGTAGCAAGAAGCTATTAGGAGCAAAGGGCATCGCTACTAGGAACAAGGACTCTACTAGGGGCTCCTGGCATCGCTACTAGGAGCAAGAAGCTTGTCGCAGCTTGTCCCCTGCCATTGGCTGCCAGCGGCTGTGGCGCGAAGTCGCTCGGCTCGACGTCCAGTTGGGATGGGTACCCGTGGCGGTAGCGAGACACAGAATCCGGTCTTCTCGGCGGTAGGGAGACGTCAGAGACGAACGGTGTGAACGAAAGAGAAGGGCGACAACGCTCGCTCCTGCTCGACAATGTCTCCGCACGAGAGGGTTGCGACAACCTCAGGGTAAGCAGGTGAGAGACTGAAAATACTTCAGGGTCCATTTTAGGTTGGAGGTTGGAGGCCATCGCTAGTAGGTTGGAGGCCACCGCTTGGAGGCCATCCCCATTAGGTTGAAGGCCATCGCTGCAAGTAGGATGGGTTGGAGGCCAGCTAGTAGGTTGGAGGTCATCGCTAGTAGGTTCGAGGCCATCGCTATTAGGTTGAAGGCCATGGCTGGAAGCAGGTTGGGTTGGGGGCCAGCTAGTAGGTTGGAGGTCATCGCTAGTAGGTTGGAGGCCAGCTAGTAGGTTGGAGGTCATCGCTATTAGGATTGAACTCCGACTATTCCTTCGGGCGCGAGAAACCGTCACCTTTTGTCTGGGTGCGAGGGCTTCGCTGTCCAGCTCCACACTCGCACGGACCAGGATGTCCTGGACAGCCAAGGCTTATACTCGTTAAGGCCATGATTGTGGGGTATGAATCTCCAGTCGATATCCTTAGCTCAAGCAACAAAAAGTGTTCATTCCGCGCGTCCTGTCCACCAGCGTCATACACAGCCTTAGTGAACTGAGGTCTAGATACAAGACTTAAAGGTCTGCCATCCTCCCGGCCTTCCACTGTGGGGAATGAATGCGAATCAGATACCTTAGGAATTTCGCAGCAGGTAACTGCTTTGGCCTACACAGTAGGTTGGTAGGTTGGAGACCATCGCTATTAGGTTGGAAGCCATCGCTAGTAGGTTGGAGGCCATTGCAAGTTGGAGGCCATCGCTATTAGGTTGGAAGCCATCGCTATTAGGTTGGAGGCCATCGCTAGTAGGGTGGAGGCCGCTAGTGTTAGGTTGGAGGCCATTGCTAGTAGGCTATCGCTAGTAGGTTGGAGGCCATCGCTATAGGATGGAGGCCATCGCTAGTAGGTTGGAGGCCATCGCCAGTAGGTTGGAGGCCATCGCTAGTAGGTTGGAGGCCATCGCTAGTGAGTTGGTGGCCATCGCTAGTAGGTTGGAGGCCATCGCTAGTAAGTTGGAGGCTAGTAGTTGGAGGCCATCGCAAGCAGCTTGCAGGCCATTGCCAGTAGGTTGGAGGCCATCGCTAGTAGATTGGAGGCCATCGCTAGTAGGTTGGAGGCCATCGCCAGTAAGTTGGAGGCCATCAGAAATGACTTCTCTAATGTCCTCTGGTGACTCAACGACACATTGGACGAATAGTGATTGGGCCAAGTAGCTGAGGTCCACCAGCACGGGATGCATCTGCTGTGATCCAGCCCGTGGGCTGGATTGGCATACGGATGCACCTCATGGTCATAAAATGTCATAAGTCTGGTCATGAGAGTTGCCAACTCACAACTCTTTCCCTTGTGGGAAAAGATTGACCGCTGTGATCCATTCAACTTGCTGAGTTGGTGCACCCTTCGCCTCGCTTTTCAAGCAGCATTCGTGGCTTTCCCTGGCAGATTTCACAGTCTTTGCAAAGCCTTGCACCTTTCTCCGTTGGACTGGTGATCAAGCATCCTTGAGCTGCATTGAGAAAGACAACAGCAACTATACGTTCTTCTCTTCAAGACAGACATGAATCCAACACAACATGGCTCTGGGTGCTTCCATGCCTTTTGCTGGAAAACGTCACCGGCAACCTGAACTCGAAGCACACGCACGCTTTCCTTCATTGAAAAAACACGTGTTGGTCTGGGCCGACTGGGCCGACCACTGACCTGCCAATCTCGACACTGGAGAGGCTTACGCCAGCGCGCACAATGAGTTCCTAGAGGCTGTGGCAGATACCCAATGTTCATGCAAATTGGAACCCCTTGGAATCTGTACAGAAATCTTTTCCAATTTCCACGCACACTGCCCTCCTCTCGCAAGTTGCTGCGGACCCGCCACCAACTGCCTTCACTCCAGACACTCCTTTGGTATCCTTTGGTTGTGTTTCTGCCATACAAAGTGGTCTTCCCTTCAACCTGCCCTTGACAAAATTTACCAAAGCTACTCTTTGATACTCTTTGCACAAAGTGTCACACGGACGGGATTCGGGTTGCAACGGAAGTCTCAACCAGCAAGTCCACTAGATGTGTGTCAAAGTCCCTGAGTTTATCTTATTCCTGAGGAGTCATGAAACGCGACCATCGCAGCACTCAGGAGGGACACTGTCGGCTTGACTTGGCGACACGCACACACACCCACACACACTCAGGCACTCAGGATACAAGTACGCACGATATGAACGCCGCATGCCACACGCCGACCTAGGTGTGAAAGCCTAAGAGCCCAGGAGTAAACCAAATAAAGGGCAAAAAGCAAAAAGGCAAGGCGGCCTGAACATCTCAAGTCAAAGTTCCAAGGTTCCACGCGATGGTTTGTCTGCCGAATGCACTAGCCCTTTACTGCAGCGCGACCTCACCAAACCTGGAAGCTGCCTTCAAGACTCTAGAAACGGGGCGTGGCTATCAACAATCACAACAGCGGGTACAAGAGTTGGCGTCCCAACTCTCTTCCAACTGATTTCCGTAGCTTCATTGGCACGGATGGGAAATCAGTCTTCGTGCCCTGTCAACAAAGCCAAAGGGCAAGCTGTGATTCCAAAGTGTGCACACAAACACACTGAACTCAATCCGTGTGAGAAGTCGAAGTCGTATCCTGGTCGAAATCCCTTGGTTCCCACACTCCAAAACACACGGATCCATGCAAACATCTTGACGGATCAGTATAACGTAAACTGGTTGCAAATGAAACAGTCTGTTCACGTCGCACGCCTCGATGGCTCTTGCCCCAGGAGACCAGCTCACTTCGCCTGAAATTAGGATTAGGATGCCAGTCGCTGCAGAAAATTGCTAGGAGCAAGGATGCTACGAACGGGGCTCCTGGCCTTACTACTAGGAACAAGAAGCTACTAGGGCTCCTGGCATCACTACTAGTAACAAGAAGCTACTAGGGCTCCAGGCCTTACTAATAAAATTTGAACAGTCTCCACTTAGAGACGCGAGTTGTGCTCTTGAGACTGTCTTGGTGGCGTTGCTCACGGGGTTCGCCCTCAGAGATGTAGCTGCAAGCGTCATCGTCTTCCTGCCAAAGCGAAGAACAGAAAGCTGAGGAAAAAAAGTAACAAGCAAACAAATAGAAGAACATGTGACATGTGTTTCTTTTTGCCGCAGCGAGTTGCCTCCTCCTCTTTTGATGGATCCTTACCTGAAACATCTGCACGAGTAAAGGAAAACGTTTATGGGCAGTCGATGAACATTGCTAAACAAGCAATTCATCCAGCTCTTGGTTTGCTTGACCCAGCTCTTGGAGCAAATCTCAGGAACCGGGCGCGGTGGCTTGAAAATCTGGGCTTCACAATGCTTGGAGTCCACAGCCTGCGCAGTGAAGGCCCTGAAAGCTGATGTCAATCTGCTTGAAGCACTGCGAATTGAGTCACGGAAAGAATCAGGATTGGAATCTCTCCCGATATTTTTGCGCATCGTGTCGTGGTCAGCAAATCAGGAGGACAGGGTCGAACTCAGGCTCGTAGGACTCTCCCTCATGCACCCAGCACACCCGTTGCTTCATTGCCACCTTCCTTTCCTTCATGTTTCTCAAGGCCAATATTCGCTGCGACATTCAGCGACGTTCCAAAGATTGCCCGCCCTATACCATCTTGTCAGGGCCTCAAGCACTGGCTACCCAAAGTAAAAGAGATAGATCACAGTGAAATCGTGAATGAAATGGAATGCGCGCATCTTCAACCACAGTGCAAGAGTCCCTCCAGGGCAGCAACCCTCTTCACAGCTTCTTGGGGAACAGCATAGTCGTTTAATCAGTGTCCTCACAGTTTGTGCCAAGCGACCTGACCTGTCTTGTGAGATTTTGATTGCAATTGATTGCATCTTGATCTGTTTTTGACTCAGTCCTTAATCTTTGCAGCAGACCTGAGCATCAACCCTGCCCGCTGGCACCCGACTGTCGCGAGAGACTAGGCGCAAGTCTCTCTTTCGGAACTTTCTCCTCTTCCACCTGAACGAATGCGCCAGAGGACTGATCTGCCTCTAGGGAGAACGCCAGAATTTGATGCGCCTCGGGCAGAGACCATCCGCTTCGTAGGAGATCTCCAGGTCCACAGCCGACCTCCACCTGAACCACGACCGCTTCCGACCACGTCCGGTCCAAGCAGCCATCTTGGCCTCTTCAGGCAGGGCAGGCCGAAGTTCGAACCCAGAGTCGTCCATGCTAAGACTCTCTGGAGGCCTTGGAAGAATCTTTAGCTACGTCCTTGGCGAAAAGATGTGAAATGCACGGAATGCCAAATCTCAGGCGGTCTGTCCTACGCAGCGTGCATATGTCTACCACATATATATATATATAGTATTATATAATCATATAATATAAATATGTATGCATTATATCGTTTTTTGTTTGCGCATCTTTCAGCTAAGACACCTCCCTGGAGCGAGCATGGCATGGTCCGCCCAGAACAAAGTCTGACCCTTCAGACCCGGTTATTCCTTTCCTCTTAAGGCCATGGTCTGTTAACCCTGGACTCCTTTTCAGCCCAAAGCAGCGGAGTGCATAGCATGCAGTGGAGAGAAACGGATGCGCTTAAAACATGCTTAGGAAACACTTTGCAGCACGAAAACCCAAGCCTTTAGACGATCATCGGGTGGCGGAAGTGTCAACTCCTGAGGAGAGGAAACATGAACGAAGAGCAACAACCACAGTTCAACAGTGGTTCCTTCGTCTCTTATTTGTTTCATTTTGCTTTTCAGTCCTCCCGAATGACCTCACGGCACATGAGCAGCGGTAGCAAGCCATACACGTGTTGCTCCGGCGCCTTTCAAAGGACAAGGAAAGTGCACTACACCATGCTCAACGTCGGTCTTGGACACTGCCCCCTACCAGTAAGAAAGCGTGTTACATGCACACTCTGTGTTTCGTTCCCTTGGAACAATATGTGAATCAGACCCGATCAGCACTGGGTCAGCTCATGGAGCGCTCTTTGTGCGTGGTCCGACTGGCCCGCTCCACAGAACGTTTTTTCAAGTTAAAATTTGAACATCAACATTTACAGACTACGCGACGGCTGGCCGGAGAGCATTTTAGTGTAGAGTTACTCTGGTGTAAGGTATGTTTGCATTACGATGAAACAGGAAAGTAAAGAGAGTCGTGAGATGGCAAGAAAGAATGCAAAAGAGTTGGCGCTTAGTAGCTTAGCACGCTTGGCATTTCAGTGTCCACAGGGGGGGGATGGGCTCACTCTAAAGCTCCCTTCACCGACGCCGCGCAAACCCGCACGCACCTTCGTTTTCCACGACAATGACACACTTTGGCAACTTCCACCCTTGCTTTCGACGATGGTTACACACTCTGGCAACTTCCACCTTCGTCCTCGACCGCTTTCGACAACAGTTACGCGATATCACAATTCTCCCTGAAGTGTTGCCACTTGACACTCATTTCGTGCAAAAGAGTTGCCAGCGAAACATTTACATTGCAATGTTTTGTCAGCTATTATAGATTTGACGCGCATTTTGTGTGAGGGGGTTGCCGCTGACCAAAAAATTCGCAATATCCGCAGTTTTTGAAACAGAAGAAAGAGGCAGAGAAAGAAAGAAAGAAAGAGGGAGAGAGAGAGAGAGAGAGAGACAGATGGAGGAGGGAGGTTAGATGTGAAGAAGCGCATGTCTGGATACGCACGGAAGCCAAGATGTGAGATGTAAAGATGCGCAGATGTGAGAGAGAGATGCGCAATGAAAATGCATATGCCTGGATGCGCAGATGTCACGATGCGTGAATGCACATGTCTGGATATGCACGGATGTAAGTTGCCATGATATGTAATGTAACGCTCCTGCTTCTTTAGAAGAACCCTTCGCTCGGACACTCTCAGAAAAAACGAGCAAATCCCAAAAGCTGGGCGTGAATTTGCTGATTAAGAAGCATTAGCAACCTTTCGCACGTTTAAACACTTTCTGGCATTTTATCTAGCACACCGCACCCCCTAACATTCTGTCTGGCATATATTCTGACATCCTTTCTGGCCATTTTATCTGGCATATCTTCTGGCGTTCTCGATGGGCAGGCCCGCGCGTGCCCAGACTGGGCTGCAGCTCTCTATGGCACGGTGTGCACGCCCTTACCCCTGGCCCTCGACGGTGTCCAGGTCCGTGCCTGCCCAGACTGCTCTCATGTGTGCGTGTGCCCTTGAAGTCACAGGGATCCACCTGGATTGTACTGATTGCGCTTTTAGTTTTTCAGCAGAGCAGAGTGGAGACTGCACCGAACGAAGCTATCCACTTGTGCTGGAAGCAGAGCCTGATCAGCTCTGTGTACCTGCTTTGAATTTTAACATTTGCAGAGGTGAGTCGTAAAGTGTTAGTTGCATTCCGCAGACATGCACGCGCGTCGTCATTTGTCGTTTCGATTTCGACTTGAGCTTCTGGCTCCTTCTCCTTTTGAAGACCTCCAGGTCCGGTGGTTCTTACTTGCACTCTTAGGAACTGGTAACCTAGGCCGGCGTGTGGCAACCGCTTTCAATTCCGTACGCAAAATAATAAGTGTGTTTGCGCTCCGCCTATATGATGCGCGTGGTCTCACGCACGTGCGCTCTCATATGTGTGCTCTTATACGTGCACTCTCATACATCTGCTCTTCTATGTGTGCCAGTATTTGGTTGCTTTCTTCCTCCGAACACTGCTTGGGGTCTCTCGCCGGGGTTATCGTTTAAAAGTCACGCTTTTGGATATACAACTGACCTATTCTCCTGTCTTGCCTTTTTTGCCTTGAGTCAGTGGGGCTTGCCAGTGGAGCACGCTTCATGATATGCCACTTTTGGTGGCGCAGTGTGCCCGGATGTTCTTCTGCAATGCTCCAGCATACCTCTAGGAGACCATTAGGGCTTGTGGCCTTGTTGGCCAGTCCCCTGAGGCAAAGCACTCTTGCTTTCCCTTCTTCAATTGCTTTACCTAGATGATCGTACTATCTGTTCACCCTCTTTGGGACAGTACGATCTTAGGCTTGCGTCCGATCGCTGAGCCCTTTGTTACTAGAAGCGTCCTCTTGCTCCTAGTAGTAACGCCAGGGGCCCTTGTAGCGTCCTTGCACCCACTCTGGCGACGTGGGGATGGCCTGTGGCGGGTCCCGGTATTTTGTGTTGGGCGAGCGACGCCTCGCCTTTTTCCCAAACAGTGTGGACACACTAGGGGTTCTTTCGGTGAGTGAAAAGCAGCTGCGCTTAGATCGCTGGGGCGTGCGGGCGTGAACGGCCAATTCGCTGCTATACATTCATGCCTCTCGCAATCCTCGACGTACGTTTCAACTGCGCAGGCTCGCAAAATCTGGGGGCCGGCGGCGGCTGCTTCTAGCGACAGCGCTGCGCAAGGGAAACCTCTCGTTTCGGTCGTCCAAAGTCGACTTTTCCTGACAAACGCACGAGACCGGAGCGATTTTTACTTCGAAGTGCAGCAATTTTGTGGCAGGGACATGGTGGTGATCATCCAGGCGCTCTGATGTCGTGACAGGTGCAGTGAATCGTAGCTTTTCGACATGTGGCTCGTTTGCAGATTTCGTGGCAGGCACAGCGGTTTGTGAACCTCGACGCGCAGATTCCGTGGCAGGCGCAGCACTTTGTGAACCTTGAAGCGCATGAGAGAGTGAGTGGGTGTGAGTGTGAGTGTGCGAGTGAGAGTGAGAGTGAGAGCCTGTGAGTGAGTGTGAGTATGAGTGTGAGTGCGAGCGTCAGCCTGTGTGAGTGTGAGTGTGAGCGAGAGCGAGAGGTGAGCATCTGAGAGCACAAAGTGCTGTGCCTGCCACGAAATCTGCACTTCGCCATGAAATCTGCACTTCGAGGTTCACAAAGTGCTGTGTCACGATATCTGTCTCTCACTCTCTCACTCTTTCACTCACACTCACTCACACTCACTCTCTCACTCGCACTCTCACTCTCACTCTCACTCTCACTCACTCTCACTCACTCTCTCACACTCACCCTCACACTGACACTCACTCCCACTCCTTCTCACTCTCACTCACATTCTCACTCACACTCTCACTCACACCCACTCCCCACTCTCGCTCGCTCACTCACTCACTCACTCAGTCACTCACTCACTCACCCACCCACCCACTCACTCACTCAGTCACTCACTCACTCACACACACACACTCACACTCACACTCACAAACACTCACAAACACTCACACTCACACTGACACTCACAGTCACACTCACCACCACCGCCATCCATCACCACGATCTCCACCCCAATGCGTCTAGATCTTGGGGTCTCTTGCCGGGATAATATGTTCGACGTGCTTTTGATCCCATGTTCTGTGGAGACATGGGGTGTCTCATGTTCTGTGAAACTCTGGGAGACAGACTTGTGTTGAGAAATGGCTCGCCGATAGACGTGACTCTCAGATAGTGCAGGTGCATTCGCAGTCTCCAGTGGTCGGAAGCTTGTCTTAAACTTCACCGCGTGGCCAATAAAGTTGATGCTAAGGCACTGACAGTGGCGGGGTCACGAGTCCATCAATGTCCCTGGTCAGGTTCGGCGATCCCTTGCGTCGATCACCTGTTCAACGGGCGGGTGTTAAGGTTTGCCTCTTTCAGATCCCTCCCTATTCCCTGCCCACTGGCTGCACTTCTTGGGCCAACGTGTCAACTGCCATCTACGATGCTGTGGCTTGCCACTTCCGTGTCTCTGCTGAGGCCGGTCACCTGTTTCCTTTGGAAGGCTGAAGGAAACCAACTCGTTACAAGAAATGGCCAAGAGCCCTTGGATGGACAGTCCGCTGATGGGCCACAGCGGCCAAAATTTGGAAGAAGAATGGTGCCCAAAGAGAAGTGTTTAGCTGGTTCTGTGGTGCAGATTGTAAAAGTATGTGGAGCCTCTGTTGAGCAGTACGGAGCCTATCCATCGGGAGGCCACAACGGCAAGGAGCTGAGGCCACGAAAGGATGTCGTGACAGGCCAACGTTGCGGGCTCGCGCGCGCCACGGATGAGGAGCCCCTAATAGCTTCCTTGCTCCTAGTAGCGATGCCAGGAGCCCCTAATAGCGTCCTCCCCTGTGTTAGGGTGAGGCCAATGCGCATCACTGTTATCACTTCCGCTTCGTCCGGCCGCTTCGTTTCACTTCGTTCACTCGAACCTCCTTTCTCCGAGTCTCCGGCCCACGCCGTAGAATCAAAGCTCGGTGACATCAGCCTACGTCAGATCAGACTCCACGTTCGGATGCAAAACGGATCGAACTAGACTCGTGCCAAGTACTCAACCCTCGCCTGAGGCCTGACCCTGTGGGCCCGGACTCAACATCTCCGGCTGCGAAAGGCTGCGATTGGCAAATCACGAGTCGCAAAACTATTGACCCTGAAAGTTTCCATGTTGGCGAGATCAAACCTTTCCGGGGAGGCACCAATGCTTCTTGATATCAAACTTCATGAAGGGCTTTGCCATGCTCTTTGCCAACCTTTTGCGTTTTCGCCATCTGTTTCTGTCAAGCCTCCCTGCGGTCCTGCCGGCTTTGGGCAAAGACCTGAAGTGGAACTGGTCAATGGATATCAATGGATCTAGAATCTAGAATCTACAGTCCGTCGTCGATCGGATGTCCAATGATTCCTGGTAAATACCGGACAAAAATGCCGTAGCTTGCCACACTTGACCAAAATACCGGAAAATCTGTAGAAAGGACAAGTGGATGCGACAGTGATGGAGTGCTCGCCGATTCCCCTGCCTGCGCCGCTTCGTCTTCCACTTCTGCCATATCGCGCTTGGTGGTTAGGATGGTGACCAGATTTGCAGCCGCATCCACCGCCACTCCCAAGATGGTGAAAAGCAGCGCTCCAAAAGCAACCCTGCGAAAAGCTTCAAAAAACGCAACAAAAAGGGCAACAACAACAAAAAAGAACTCAGGCTTTTTGCGAAGCCATTCGTCAGCTTTTGAGAAAGCAAGTATCCAACCGTTTGACAGGCTTGGCAGGATTGGAACACACAAGGGGCCAAGAATACTGTCTTAGCCATAGCAGAATTGCTTTCTTCATCCCATTCCTCAGCCCACCACCGATTTGCTCGCTTGGAGATGGCCAGGGCTGTCTTTGACTCATTCTGCACGCTAGGTGTGACAAAGCGATAACACGAAGAAGTCATGCGCGACTGGACTACCGCTCCATGCACTCCCGTGCTCCCGCGCTCCCGTGCCTTGGTCCAAACACTCAACTGCTCCACTCTGCCAGACTTTGCTCTCGAGCGCAAAGCCTGCAGCGCAAAGCCCTCAGTCGCTCGCACTAGGGCACCTGCTTCGCTGAGAAGTCAGCAAAGAAAACCTGGCCTTCTGCTTCTGCTCCACGAGAGGTTGCCTGGACAAGTCGTGTTTTTTCAAGAAAACACGTTGGATCAGAATCCGCTCCGTGTCCGCTCCGGTCCTGCTCTCCTGGCCGGTGTCTAGCAAGAAAGGTTGACTGTGTGTTCGTGGCATTCGTCTAGTAGTATGGCCAGGAGCCCCTAGTAGCTTCTTGTTCCTAGTAGCTTCTTGTTACTCGTAATAAGGCCAGGAGCTACTGGTAGTGCCCTTGCTCCAGAAAAATAGAGTTCATCAGCGCAGGGCGAAGCTTGGAGAAGAATCGTGAGCCACTCACATGCGCAATCCTTTTTGCTCTCATTCAAATCGGCAAGACGAATCTAGTGGAACAGAGCAAAAGCTCAAACGCTCTCACTCTCGTTTAGTAACAGGAGCTTGGTCCACACCTGGCAAGGATCAGTCCACCAAACTGCAGCTTGCAATGTTCCATGATGTTTTAGCAAGTGTGTTCGTGATTCTCCTTCTTGAAGATCAAGACTAGGCCACCGCGCAGCTCCCCCAGGATAGGCAAGGGTAGTGCATACTTCAGCTGTGTGGGTTCGGGCTGCAAGGCCAACCAACCTAGAAGAACGAAGTCAAAGCAAGAGGTAAGCTGCTAGCCTGCCTGTTCGAACCAGTAAGGACTAGCAAAAAAGGCCTTCAAAAAGCGTTGTGTTGACTGCCACGAGCAAGGCATGCTAGGTCTGAGCATTTTGAAAGCAAGGGGAAGCAAAGGCAAATAAAAAACGAAAACAAGGTTATAAGTTATCCATAGCAAGCGTAGAGAATTCCAAGACTTACAAGACGAGAGACTAAAGAGATAGATCGTGCAGATTTAAATTTGTTGTTTCCAGAATGCTAGCTTTGCAAAGTGTGAACTCACTGAAGTTCAGCTGCCATCCACCGCTTCGAACACCAGCCGGTTGTTCTTGACCTGGGCTACCGCTCAGCTACCAGCTACCGTGGCTGCCACCAATCTCTCACCAATCCAGTCATTCCCTAACCACTCCAGGCCACCACGTCAAGGAAGATCTCTTCATGACGTTGCCGGATGAAGGTATCCGTGTCCGTGGCAATCCTTGTGGAAAATGAACTTGGCGGGATCAACATGACCGTTGTACCGTGTTCCACACGGAACCCGTCTGAGGTTGTGTGAATTAAGTCAAATCCGCACAGCCTTCCTAGCCACGGCTCTGGTGGACGAGTGCTCTTATGTTGTCAATCGCCTGCAGGTGTTCAAGTGCAACTTGAGCCCTAGTCTCCCCAGGTTAAATGCAACTAAAAACACGTGAAAGCTGTCAACAACTGACATCTCAATCATGCTCAGAAAACCGCTGACGAGATTCCACTCTTTGAAGAGCTGATATGGCAAATCTCCACGTGGTGGCGGTGCAGACCATGTCGCAAGTACCGTTCCTCAGGTGGAGAAGCATGGTCGTCGAACTGCTGAGCAAACCCAAAGCAAGTGGTCAAAAAAGTTGAATTTGAACATGCTACAACCTACTAGCGATGGCCTCCAACCAAATAGCAATGGCCTCCAACCTAATAGTGATGGCCTCCAACCAATAGCAATGGCCTTCAACCTACTACAAGCAATGGCCT